CTTGAGACTTACGAACGTTCAATACATCTCCATAAACTTCTTTGATATTCTTTGTGGCTACCGGGGTGTTCTTTCCCTTCTTGTATTCAAACAGCATTACATGCCGAATGTGTCGTCGTGTGCCATCACAATAAGGGATTAGAGTATACTAAACTTTACACATTATATAGGCTACACTAACGTGACGTTTAGATGGTTCATTTAACTATTATACGTGATGTGCGTTTTTTGTAGGGTGGTTAATAAAAGTGTTCCAAAACGCGACATTAATTTCTTGACGACCTAATACGTTACGGTAAACAAGCACACTTACATATAACAAAATATTCAACTCGAAACAAGACATGAATGAATATAATATTGGCGCCTTCAAAGCCTTTTCATTGTGCAAGCTAAAACCTCTTTGTCATAGAAAATGTAGCGAAACAATAATGTATTCCTAGTGTTGTCTTTTTCGAATTTATTTGATGCTTATCAGTCATATTCCTAGAGATTAATTTATCTGTATTCCTCATGTGGAAAGTTTTCTCTAATAAAACTTCGCAATAAAATATAGATTCTATCTACGTGCCAGATGTCCTGCAAAACTTAAATTAATGGTCATTTTTATTAACTAACTTTGTGTTTAAGGAGATGTACGTGAACTAAACATGCCATGTGTATGCCGTAAAGTTAAAAAAAGGATTAAAAAAGTTAAATTGTTACTCAATAGTTACAAAGAAAAGTCACTGTAAAATTCTTTAATTAGATTAATACTGTTACGTCTCCGTTCGTTAGTTGATTTTCCGTAACTTCGTTCCCACGAAACTTTAGCGACACAAGTCCTTTCTTAATAAAACTGGTTTATTCTTTCAGCATATAACTTCACCGATACACTTATTTTCAACAGTCGCTCTATAAGAAACGCTATAACAACGAACGTTAACTTCAACAATACTTTCTGACTGCTGTTCAATTACTCACTACCTACACACACTGTCACGTCACGCCGTGACCATCTTATATATACCAGGCCACCCCCAATCTAGCAAATGCTAGAGCACTCCCGAAGGAACAGGATAGTTCTAGAAAACGGGTGGCGTGATACTAGTCACGTGATCTCGCTGACGCTCGAAAAACATAAGTACAAACAATTTACTTCGCGTATGTTATATTGTACATCTATAGTATAAGAAAAAACAACAAAAATATATTTTACTTTTAAAATGGTTACTTGTCGTCAACATCTTATAAAGGCGCTTTGTTATTTCTTTTTGTTGTTTGTTATCCCTATTTCAACGACATTAACTAAGTTCAGGATTCGAATGTGAGACAATGAAAACTCTTAAATATTATGAAATAGTACGAAACGTTTGTATTGCTTTTGCTAATCCACTGATGAATATTTATATACTTACTTTCGTTGTGCATTTAACTCTATTTCATAGGTTTTAAACACATTTTCATTTGCCTCGTATAAGCTTTTATACCTGCAGCAGTCGACGGTAAGAAGCATATGTTATAATAAACAAAAATGGTCAACACCACTGTTGGTACGGGTAATTTTAAAACTGTTGGCAAGTGCCTCTTGACTCAATGAAAGAAGTTGAAGGGTAGATTGGAGTAAAAAAAAGAGAGCGCGGCAGATAAAAATTGAAAAGAAGAAAAAAATGGAATAAATTACAGGTTTAAAGTGTAAGTTGGTAAAATAAAAGTCGTTTGGTATGCTCGATTGAAACGTATCGATTTAATTCTAAATATGAGGGCGCTAGTATTAATACATAACCATTATGACATTGCTATTAACATCGAAACCGTATGTAAGTTATTTATGGAAAAGCACCCTAAAAGAATGGAGCGTGCTAATATGTTATTACGTTAGTGCATACATGATAATCAGTGATTGAAATAACTGATATACTATTATTGTACAGAGTTGTATAAATTAGTAACATAACATTTAATAACTATTCAGCACATAGATAGTATAGTAATTTATTGTAATAAAACATACTCTTTATGGTAATTTAAGTATAGCTTCCCATGCAGTGTCACAACAGAATGATGATTTGTTGACTTTCCATTGGATGTTTGGGGATTTTATGTGAACAGCCATGTAATTGTTTAAGCTATATTTCATGCAAAATTTTCTGGGGAGCATGCTCCCATACCGTTAGTATACTGATTGTGTTTTGCACAATATGTATTGGCTTTTGATTTCACAAATTAGAACTCCCCTTTCAAACATTCTGCATACGGGCCTGGACATACGAGAAAGTGTATTATGTGCAAGATAAAAATATCATGTAAGTGAAATTGTTTTTTTCAAGTTGTTTCCTAATCTCATATGTTGAACCAAAACAAACAGTTAATATTACTACGTTCACAAGCATGAGCTGCATACAAAGTAAAAGTAGTTGAGTATCACATGTGATACTCAGACGCTTCAGCATTATGTCCTGCGAATCGCATGTGATGCAGAGGACAGGGATAGGGTTAAATTTGAATTTACTAATACTATATGGTAATCAGAATGCCTTTTATCATAAGCTTATATATATGTATAAAAGGAAATCAATTTTGTGAACTAAAGCGAGAAGACTGTTGGGCAGTAGCGTTTAATAAAGATTTGTTTGTTTACTCAATTTAGAACAAAGCTTCTCGAATGTTATTTGGACCGGTCGTCCCTAATTGAGAAGCGATAGACTAGAGGACGCTACAGCACCCCCGGTTCCGACACCAATGTGGTTGATAATATCGAGGACAAGACCGAACTAATGTGAAAGCAAACTTTTCATATCTTACCACCTGCTGTGAAGATACGTTAAGAAAACTCGGGGATATCGTAAGTATTGTTAAACTGTGTATCATTCTTCATACGAGCATCTACCCGATGAGCAAAGCCAGTGAACTTAAAATTTTCAAATGTTTATGTCCTTCTATTAGTTTGTTTTTTTAATTTCCCGTTTATTTCTTCATGATCAGATTTTAGCGTCCGAAAACTTACTGTTGACCCCTCGGGAGCACATATATTGGGTAAAGAGCAAATGCGCGAGATGATCGATTACGTCAATGCCGAAAATCAGTACGTAAAGCCACTACCAATTTTCCTCTATCTAGACATTTAAGTTGTACCGACCATTGATGATGATGGTGCTGATATGCAAGTTTGTCTCTTCAAAAATGACCCACAGACCAAAATAGAACGTTGCATCATCTTCCAGCTAAACAGAAATCCCCTTGACTGAAGATAAAAAGCTTAAAGATGAACAAGAAGGAGACAGAAAGTTAACCATATCCAGATCTGTGAGCATCTTTAAGATCTCGATTGTGTATCTACATATCAAAGCTTAAGTTAAAACAATAATTCTAACTCTTAACAATCGTTCGCTCACGGATATTTTGTCATATTGTAATATTTATTGTAATTCGCAAATAAAAACGAAAAAAAAAAAGAAGTGCGTTCATGCATTTGCGCACAGTTCCGAGGAGTCTCGCTCACATTCAATGCATTTATCGATTTTTTTATTAATTTCCTTGCCCATCCCAAAGCACAGTTTATACTTGCTAAGAACTTATCATCCCTTGAGAATATAGTTCTCCAGGTTTTATTTCTCACGTGATTTTACTTCTCTCTCTCTCTCGGGAGTTATTAATCCCTCGTTTACACCCGTTTAATCATGGCCTGGCATCATATGATTTTGAACAACTATTGATGAAGCTTAGCTTTGGAAATAGCTACAGACAAAGTTTAAATACCCTTGGATAGAGCAGATTTTCAACTATTTAAATCACTATACAGTGAATAAAGTGGTTTCAAAAGTTATAGTTTAATGAGGAATTGATTAGATATAGCTATATAACTATACTATTTAATGGGATGTTTAGAAAACTTAACCACAGATTTGGGAATATTTTTGTAATTTCCTTTTATGTTTCTGCAATATTTTCATATTAAATTGTATTTGTTTGAAAGGTATGGAAATGTTCTTGTATAATAAGGCATCAAGTAAGCTTAGTTACGTTTAAAATACGGCAGGCGACAGCAAATGATTTTAATGATTCAGATCATTATGTACTGAAAATATTTTTTTAAGTTTATTGTATTCTAACATCGTAGATAAGTGAAAATAAACTTACTTATTAACAGAAACTATTTATGGAGCTAAACTGATCTTGACCAGGGGTGAAGTTCTGCCTGTACTCGGCAGAACTGAGTACCGGAACTTATAGAATATTTTAGATATACAATTTCTAAAACACTGTGGATGAATTCATTTTAATAATTATTTAAACGGTAGATAGTAACTAACCTGGAAAATGTTTTTCTCTTCTATGTTTTTACGTGTAGATTGGTTTCTAGTTAGTCAGTCAATTCTGTTTAGGATTAGCCTGTTATTGTATAGTTTTAGCCATTTTATATATCTGTATAAGTCAGTAATTATGTCATGAAAGATGGTGATGATCGTAATAATTTTTTAGTCAAACATATTTAAAATGTTTGATTTGTGAAAAAGTATTTCCTTTATAATCATTTAATATGTGCTTTAGTGTACATGTAAGCCATTAAACAAAAGCACACACACCAAAACATAGTAGTAAGAGCTTATTATTAACCAAACAAAATATGGTTTCTTTACAAACTAAATTTTTCCACAGATTATGGTAACAACCAGTTTTATTTAAAGTCTAGTATGAAATATTCATTGAGCAATATTAAAAGTTATTTTTTTTTTGTTAATGCCCGTAATATTTTTTCAAATAGAAATATGATACATCCTCCTTCACTTATTTATTTGCTTCACTCAGACTTATGTATAGTGTTTTTAATACACAAAATTAAGCAAAGCCTACTGCTCTGACAGGTACCTGAATATACACATCCAGCAGTATGTATTTTTTCCCTAAAATAACAAAAGAATCACTTAAGAGGCAATACATATACAGGCTATTCATTTGCTGGGAAAGACGAATGGAAAAAAATAGAAAGGACTGGAAATTTATAAGTTCTGTACGTATGCAATAATTAAATACCAGAGTATGAAACAAGTTATTGCACTTGTAACCACTAGGGAATGCTTTTAACACAAAAACAGTATTTTGAACACCACATGCGATTATTTTTATAGTAACATTCATTGGTATTAGGAAATATTGATCTTTAACATTTCAAGTGTAATATTTACCATTTATGGCACAAAGATATTAGTAAGCACATTGGTTGTTTTACAAATCTCAAATACTGGTACGATCATACAATAATTAAATTTCAAACCCTTAGCAAAACATTTTACCCAAGAAATGTTGTTGTGCAGAAGACAACCAACAAACAACCATGGCCTATATGTACTTAGTCTTGCCAAATGCCTGCCCCCCCCCAAAAAAAACATCTTAACATTATGTTTTAGTAGCATTAAATGATGAAAACACATTATTATTATAGAAAATATCTTAAAATCTACAAACATATTTTAAAAAAATATTAATTAGAGTATTTTCATTAAGAATAACTTTCTTAAATGATAAGCTACATGTGCTTATATTCAGGACAAATTTGGTTGAGCACTTTGAATGTGACAAGTTTAAAACTTGCATCCACTTTACACACACACAAAAAAAGCAAAATCATTTCCTAGCAAATATTCTAGCTGTGGCAGGTTTTTCAGAACAAAATACAATATTTGTAAACACAAAAGCGAAAGCCCATCACCATATCACCTTCTTGAATCAGGTGCATGAATTTTTCAAATTTCAAGCAGTAACAAATAAACGAAAAAAATGTAAAAAATTATAAACAATAAAGGTATTATTAGTTGTATTATGATATAAATAATGAACTTTACAAAAGAAATTAAATGATTTTAATACTGTTGGAGAAAATGTAGACAATGTTTGGAAACAAAATGAAGTACATTTTACTAAATATGAAAAATTATTTCTATGGATTAAGTCAATGTAAAAATAAGTTCTAAAGTTAACTAAGAAACCATAAGTTATGTCAAAGATGGATTAGGTAGAAGAAGGAGGAAGTACATGCACAAGTTGGCTGGAATTACTGTTTTAAAACTATACATGTATATGAAACATACTTTTACAGCTTTAATTCTATCTTTCAATTTTGTACAAACACATAAATACCAGTTCAGAGGAAGTGTTCATCTTAAACAAGGGATACTTTGACTCATTACTGATGTAGAGACATTGAGATTCTTAAACAAACAAGGAGATTGAAGTCCACAAATTGAGTCTTTCTTAGCTAAAAGACACAAGTTTTAGGAACTTCAAACGTGGAGCCTTTAAGCATGATAGTTGGCCAAAGCAAAGTATAAATCAGCATACTCTTAAACTTTCACAATTTTTCAAGCTACATGACTATCTCTTAAGACTTTATGAAGAGAATGAGTGATAGATATAAGTTAATAAAGAGGAATTGTACAAAATATGAAGTGTCAGTTATTCAAATAGGACAAATAATGGAAAAAATAGAATAAGTAATATATATGAGATTCAGATAATACAAAAATACACTTTTGCAGTACAATTTCATAAGGACAAAATATTTAGCTGCATAAAAAATATGAAATAAAGATATATAACAAATATTACCAGTGAGATAACAAAATCCACCGAATTTTCAGAGTGATAATACGTCCTAATTTCAGAACAGTCAACAAATATTTTTCTCCATTGAAGCATACAGTAATAATGAATATGAGGTATGATATAAAAAATATGTTGGTCACAAACAAAATCTAATATTAGAAATATAGTCACAAAAACATTTTAATTTGTCAGATACTTTTTCTGACCAACCATACTAAATAATAACTAAAACATTCTGTAGAGAAAGATCTTCATTTTTCTGTTTAAAATGGACTCACTGCTTATGTGTACTGACTTTTCATGCCACATTCAGCTGGTCAGTTTTAAACAGAAGATAATATAGCTAACAAAACTGCTTGTTTCCGTAACTTAAGGGTAGATAAGAAGCAACTTTTCTCTGTACATGTGGAAACTGAAATACATTCAAGTTTATTATAATATGAATACAAAAATCAACAAAGATAGAAAACACCAACAGCCTCATTGACTACTTAATACACATCATGGAAAGTCAAACTGATTAAGCTATTAAAGATATCTTTTTCTTTATTACAATTAACAGAAACAGCTTTATATCATAACATAACGACTTATCAATAAGAAGATAATAGATAACTTCACACTACTCCGTTCAACATAGGTTAGCTTGACAAACTAAGAAAGGTACTTCTTAACATATCAATAGTACTTATAGTGTCACCATATCATCCTCCAATAAAATTTTAGCATGGTATTAAAGTCACATTTTAATGATGCATTTTTCTCCACTAAACTTTTGCTAACATTTCATACAGTTTAATTTTTTTTGTAGATGTAAATGTATATTTCAACTCACATGACATATTTATTAAAAACTTAGTTGAAGGTCAGTTTGACAACCAAGTATACCACAAATTTTTTGTAAGGTAACATATGCATTATAATACTAGAAGAGGAAAATACTGTCAACTTTTTTTTTTATGTAATACAAAATTATCACTGATTTATATTAAAAATCCTAAATGTTAACATTTATTTGTGAGTAAAACAATAATTTATAATATACAAATTTCTTTAAATCCAGATAAAATAAGAGCTTTGCAATTTGTTCACAGTTGCAAAAAAAAACAAAAAAAAAACGTTTTTATTCCTAGGGAAATTTGTAAACAATTATAAAGAAACATCTACATACTTCTTATGATTCTAAATTACAGAAGAAAACAATCAACTTCATAAATAGAAATTACGCTTGTGGAATGTATAATTACTTCCTGTCTACCCTGCAAGTTTCAAGCAAAAGCAAGCTAGACATTGTGTACAATTTAAAAATTGCTAAACTAATAGGTAGAAAGAACATTAAACTGAGTATTTTGTTTCTTGGTATATTTATATGTTAATGTAAGCAAATATTATCTGATCATTTAGATATGGCAAGCAATATCAGCTTTTGTCAGGCACCTGAGAAGACACTACAGGACTGGCATTACTTCCTGCAATGTCAGACTCTGTTAATACTAGTTCTTGACCGAGAAGACCTAGTTTTAAAAAATCATCAGTAACTTGTGTTATAAAAGTTTCTTGGTTCTTGGAGAAGCTGCACTGATGCCCATAGCTTTCAGTACTAGAAGAAAGTCCTGAGTGAGATCTAGGTGGCAAATTCCAAGTGGAAAAGTCTGAAAACTGATCTATGTGGTCCCTCTGGTGGTCCCCAACAGAAATATCGGATGAGGATTTTTCATTCCTACTTGTTCGAGGTAGATCTAGCATTGAACAGGGTTCAACCGTTGTTACAGGGGAGAAAGAAGAAGCATTATTCACACTATTAAGCCTGAAAGGTAAAGTACCAACATTGCATGAAGTTGTAGTTAGAGGTTTCGATGTTGGAGACAGAAGTAGGTCATTAAAAGAAGAAACAAAACTGAGGCGGGGTGGGCTGTTAGAATGGGAAACACTAGTAATATAATCAGAAAATTTATCCTGAGAATTATTATGTAACTTGGACATTTCTGAGCTTGTTAAAGATACTGAGTTACTGACTTCAGCAGACTGTTGCTGTTGTTTTGAGCTGCATTCTGCAAAAGGACTGTGTAACACAGAACAAGGCTGAATGGACTTTAAAAGTAAGTTTCCACAAGTATTGGAGCTTGCTGTAGAGTCCTTTTCAGTTAACTATTAGAAAAAAAATATATATAGTCATTTCTTAGTTCAAGAAAAAAATGTGTAATAATATACCTTAGCCATAAAATCATTTATTAGAATTTTGCATTCAATATGTTTAAAATGAAAAAGGAAAGGATGATTAGAAATGTAGTTCTAATGTAGCTATATCTAGTATTATTATGACAAGTCTGAAATAAAGGATAACAGAATATATATATATAATATAGATGCAAAATTAATTTAAGACATTTTGGATACATTCATAAGATTTTCAAAGTTAATAACTTCTCCCATATGTTGTTTGGATTATTATTGTGTTTCAATTTCAACAAAAGATTGGTTTATGTAAGGTAATCACTAAAGAAAGGGAAGCTGAGAAATAAGTTAGTTTTGTGTAGAACTTGATGGCCTTTGACAAGCCACGAGACAGAATCATACAATTTTTCATTGTCTTTATCTTATCCTGTGTACATTTTAACATTTTGATAGAAGCAAACCACATTCAACAAAGAAAGCACATACCTGACAAGAAGAAGTGACTCCACCCAAAACAGGATGTTGATTTGGTTCCCATTGGTTAGCTTTTGTCTCCAGTACTTGAATGTGCTGTATTAAACTCTGAATGTGTTCCAAAAGCTCTTTATTGTGTGCCATTAACTGATTGTTGTGGGACTGGAAAATAACAGAAAATATAAACATTCAAAATTATAAATATCCTTCTTTGTGATACTAAAGTACATATTAAACATCTTGTTTCATTAGCATTTCAGGCAACATAAACTCTGTAGGACTGGAATTTCTGAGGAACTGCAATAGAAACCAACTTAATGAAGTTAATTTCTTAAACAAGCTTCTTACAATCCAATGGCTCTGCCAATTTGATTTCAACCTTAAAGATAAACAGAACTTACTCAGCTTGGACAACAACTCAAAATGGAGGCACAGACCTCTTCATTCCAAAATTAAATTACATATTTAGAACAATTTACTATAAGTTCAACATCTAAGTTTATTTCAAGTTTGATAAAACTCTAGGGAACCTTTCAACCAAAGAGAAACAACTGACCAAGTAATTACATAGAAACAATTCTTCTACAAAATTCCTTGCTTTTGGATGATACATATATAAGAGAATCCATGGGACAAAAATGTCAGCATGAAAATGCCTAATACACACATAATAAACAATTGTGACATGTCCAATAAAAAGGATAAGAAACTTGGCTATAAAGAAATCAGTAAATCCCATGTTTACTATAAAATTTCACAAAAATAACAATTGTACTAGTTCAGACACATTTGCACATGTAATTTAAATAGATTCCTTTGTACAATATGAGAGATTAAAAGTATATATATGGAATACAGTAAAAAACACATGGTTGATAAGGTTTCATGAATTGCACAAAAATAACAATTGTACTAGTTCAGACACATTTGCACATGTAATTTAAATATATTCCTTTGTACAATATGAGAGATTAAAAGTATATATATGGAATACAGCAAAAAACACATGGTTGATAAGGTTTCATGAATTGCATGAACTTTTAACTTCGGTTTTTACAGTAACTAAACCACACCCATTATTGTTCAAGTGCTAATTTTTTTTTATTCTTTTCACAACATTAATTGATTTAACTACATTTTCATTAGTCAATGTAACTGATGCTCATAATTAATCGATTAAATTGAATTAACTGCCCAGTTCTATAATATAACCAAAAAGTTAATTTTTCAAGAAAAGGTCTTTAATATAACTGTATTAAAAGCTTTTGGTAAAGTAAACATTTTAACAACCACCACATATTAAATCAATGATGTTACAATAAACATGTAAAAAAAAGATTATTATATTTTCTCTCTCCTCAGTTGTAACATTTGAAAGTAAATTTATTTTTCTGTAACAGCAATACAATAAAAAATGCTCCAATTTAGTTGCTGAATTTAATCACAGAAAAAAGGTTTGCTTAAAATTATAATTTTTACATTACAGTTTATTTACAGTAACTCGGGTCTGTTATATGAATAAAAATTCCCCTGATTTTACTGGAAGTGCGTTATCTCCGCACTTAATGTTTTAGTAAGCTCCAGTGTCTCATTCACGTGATGGTTAACAAAACCCTGTGATTAATGTTTTTCAGCAGTCTCTTACCATTATGTCATAAAACCAAAACATATTCACATACCTAGTTACTGCACTTATATCCACAAGTGAACAGACATGAAACTAACTTCCATCGTCATTGTAGTTTTAAATGCTGCAGAAAATTCTTAATGTACCATCTATTTCTGATTTAATACCATAATTTCTTCATAGTGTTGTAAAATACACAAGGTTATGAAGAAGTTTATGCAAACAATAAGAATAAGCTAATTCAAGTAATACTGCTGAAGACCCAAATCATATTTAAAAGTTCGTTTGTTTTGAATTTTGTGAAAAGCTACACAAGAGCTATAGTGTAATTGAGTGTTCTGGTTTTTCCTGTTTGATCCTCTGAAAATAAATATTAAGATGATAAGTCATATAAAGTTGTTCAAATAATGAATGGTCGGTTCCAAATATGAAAAATGTCATTGTAGTAAATATTAAGAAAAGGATGAGAATAAACTGTACAAAAAAAGTTTAGTTGGCAAACCATCCACACTAGATTTTGATGACGATATTCCTGAAGCTTAAAATGAGATTTTTATTTTGGATACTTAATACGACACTGAAACTGGTAATCAAAAATGTTGCTAATCATTTCATATACTATTCTATTGTATCATTATTTTCCATTTTAGCTATTTACTATTCTGATTAACTTTTTTAAAGCTATATCTTTTTAAATATGGGGCCCGGCATGGCCAGGTGGTTAGGGTGCTTGACTCGCAATCTGAGAGTCGAGAGTTCTAATCCCAATCACACCAAACATGCTTACTCTTTCAGCCATGGAGGTGTTATAATGTGATGGTCAGTCCCACTATTTGTTCGTAAAAGAGTAGCCCAAGAGTTGGCGGTGGGTGGTGATGACTAGCTGCCTTCCCTCTAGTCTTACACTGCTAAATTATGGACGGCTAGTGCAGACAAAAAACAGTCACACGGATATACCAAGGACAAAATTGTTACTCACCTGAGCCTCCAATCGAGCTGAGATTTCTGCAGTAAGCTTATCTTTTAGCATGTGGACCTGTGAAAGTGTAACCTGAGTCTGCTGGGACTGCTGCTCTAACTGTTCTTGAAGTAACTGCACTTGGTGGTAAACACTAACTGGCAATCCTTCAGGTAGACTACTCCTACCTATCCCTATTCTATCACACAGTGGAGAAACATACATTTCTCCAACCTAATATAAAACAGTTTTTTTTTTAGTAAAGTTCCAAACAACATATATGCACCAGTACGTGATACAAACTGAGATCTTAGTTTGTATCAGTAATATACTACAGTATTAGATCTATGCAACTATTACTGTTATGTAAACAAAAATATATATTCAACTATAAACAGACATTGTTAAAACCAGTTAAATGATTTATGTTCATCTAATAGACATAATGTGAATGTTAACATGCATTCAAGCCATTCAAACCCATTTGGTGAACATTATTATCTTACTCTAAATATAGTATGAATACAATTTATATTATGGAAAGGAGTGTTAAGTAAAAATTATTTCAAGGACCAATATAAAATTTAAGCAAAACATTTCAGTTCTGTTTCATTTATTATAATGTAGATGTCACCACCATGGAAAAAAAAATTAAATATTAAGACTGATGAAAGTTATAGTACTTGAAGATCTGTAAAGGAAGGAGCTATTTCTGTAGATTGTAGACAAGTGGGATGTTGCTTGGAGGATGAAAGGGCAGTGCTGCTATGAATTTGTTCCCCAACTTGAGTGTCAAAGCTACCAGTTTCTGAAGTACCATCTCTATGTAAACAACCTGGAAAAAAAATAATATATAAATACAAGAAATGTAAAGGCAAGTAAAAGACAGTAAAAAGTAATTTCAATATTTTTTTTTTTTGGTGCAGCAGAGGCCCACAGAATTTGAAATCTACCAATAAATATTGCCTAATGCATCCTACAAGAATAGCAAGCTAAGGAATCTTCACTTCATTTAAAACTCAGAAGAAAAAAAAAAACTTGCATCAAAACTTTTTCTGTAAAGGCAGTTAATGAATATATCTTAAGACACTCAGCAAAATCTCAGAATAACAACAATGAAGAAAACATTTTACTAAAAAATTAAATTAACAATTACTGACAGCTGGTTTACAATGCCTAAATATTCCTACAGTTCATATATAGTTTAAAATGGATCTAATAGCCTACAAAGATATCTAAATGTAACAGATGCAGCTTATTTTTACTAAAAACTGATTACATAAATACTAAAAATAATTGGGTTTTTTCAAGGAATTTAATAATATTATACGTTTGTTTAATGTTATGTTACACAACAGTATAATGTTTTTGTGTATGTTCCAAAAAAGAACAGGAAATATTACTTTTATTTGGGGACTGTAGAAAGTCCCTTCTATTCTTATCTTCTTGAAACTCTTCTTGACTTTCTCCACTTGAAGGTGTGTAGGTTTTACTGAACTTATGACAAACTTCAAATGCTTGGCCAACAGTACGTACTATCCTCATGGCTTGAGCCTAAAATGGTGCCAAAAATTTACATACCTTTAGCAAATTTGTCAGTTCTAATGTATTCTAAAATATTTTTTAAAAATAATTTCATAAGTTATGGTATTATTTCTATCAGAATCAAAACAGCTTATTAACTGTAACAAAAATCATAAAAAAATATCCAACATCCTAGAAAGTTCATGTTTTTTCAAATATGATATGCTAATACACTTGAAAAAATAATGCAATGTCACTATACTTCCTGTTAACTTCCAAGAAATATAACTTGGATTTTAGAACAATCAAGAGAAGTATGCTATAGTGTCACAGTACAGGGAATGTACACAACTATCAGGTGTTTCTTTGCAGCTGCAGATAAAAATGCAATGAAATTTAATAACTCTGATGATCACTTACAAACTGTTAGAGTTGCTGTGAAAATAAGTCAAAATAAACAATGAAGCCTTCTTTAAACTTATTATTTTTTCAAAAACAACCAATGAGACCAAAAAAACTGTAAAAAAACCAGGGTTCTTCCAATCCTTTTTTTTTTCAGAAGTTTAAATTCTTTAGGTCTAAAATAATTACTTCTCACAGATTTATCCAAAATGGTAAAGTTTGAAGCAATTTTCAAAGACAAAAAAATATATATTTTAGTACTAAACAGATACTTATAAGCAACTTCATCACATCATAGTTATTTAATGGAAACAAAATATTTTTGATGGTTCTACATTAATTACAAATTGCATATCTACTGGGCTTAAGATTACCTTGTACTTTGAACAAACAGTTACTGCACTGTTAGTTATGTTAACAAAGACGAATTACTAGTATGAGCATTCAAATAAATATTCAAATCTCCAATTTTTCATCTGCTTATCTTGCTTACAAATATTAAAAATCAACTTATAGTTAAGTAGGATATGAGTGATTTAGTCTTAAGAACAGTGAGAAACTTTTAGATAGCAATGTGTTGAAGCCATTTTGTATTTTCATAGCTATATTTGATTTTAACAGTAAATCTAGGATACTCCATATTTTACTTCAAAATATACAGAGCGCATATGTAGTTATAACAGTGTTGCCAGATCTAAAATACAAAAATTTTGTATTGAAACCTTAAAATTACTGTATTCTTTTAAAAAATATCATATGCTGCAAATACTTAAAAATATGGCAGTTGAAGTCTTTTTTTATATGAACTATGACATCAAGTTGAACTGTACTGTATCATCACAATCCTACACTATACTGCTTGACACCACCCTCTATCACATTTTGTTAAAATCTGTTCTCCAGGAAACACTATATTCATTCCATGTTTACTTTTTCATCTTTGCTTTGCTTTTCAAATCCCTCATCTAACTCTAGTATAATATTTTACTTAAAAGTTTGAGAAATAGTTCCCACGTGCTCACCTTCATGCCTAATTAACTGTGATAGTCCACTTGTGCACTTATTTTATAACACCTTGCAAAGGCAGCTAGAATTTAACGTCATCATAACACATAAACACATGGAAACAATAGATCACATGATCAAGTAGTTCAGCACTGAATGGTTGTCAGTGATGCCTGTCTCCGAACTTATATTATAATGATGTCATTGGGTGTGTTCTTGTAGAAGTGTGGAAACCTGTGCTACAAGAACTATTATTTGGCTGGCCCCTAGCTATAACAAGGTGATGAGAGGTTTCAAATGTAATGGCATGACAAAATTATAGTACATTGTGAACACTTTTTTGTATTATTGATCAGACATCATATAAAGGCTAAAATTATCAAACAAATACAATCATAATCATACATCAGGCAGCACTGAGTTGTAAGAGGTATTTCTTCTTTTAAAGTGAAACAGGTTTCATCTAGATACATTTGTCGATGGAGATTCACTTCTCAAACTTACACAAAATATATTCTTAACGGACTTGATGACAATAAGAGAAAGCAATTTGAAACACCCTCTTAAATAAAAATACATGGGTAACTGAAGTTAGTTATACTTTCCATAAGGAAAATCCTCTATTCAGTTTTTGTTAAATCAATACCAAGAAACTTTAAAAAATCTTCCAAAGATTTGGTTTGTTTTAAATTTTGTGCAAAGCTACAAAAGGGCTATCTGTACTAGCCATCCCTAATTTAGCAGTGAAATACTACAGGTAAGGCAGCTAGTCATCACCACCCAATGCCAACTTTTGGACTACTCTTTAATCAACGAATAGTGGGATTGATCATCACATTAAAATACTTCCATAGCTGAAAGGACAAGCACATTTGGAGGGATTTGAACCCGTGCCCCACAGACTGTGAGTCGAATGCCTTAACCATCTTCAAAAGGAATAAGACAAAAAAATAATTTTTGTATTGATATTGATTATTAAGTGTTACACTCTGCATGGATTTAGTTAAAGCTGATTTTGATAATGGGTATACTTTTATGGTAGTGGAGTGTATATTATATGTATGATTTTTTGAGATTCTTTTTCATATTTGAGTGTTCTGTACATAGAAATCTGAACGTAGGACTACTCAGTTTCAAGTTTTAAAAGATAATAGTGTAATGCAATTTTAAGTGATTATTTGTAGCAACTGAACAACATCAAGTAAAATCAAACACGAGAATTTTTCCTGCTTTTCATAATTACATGTATTTGCAGAATATCTAGGGTTCAATTTCCCACAGTGGACAAAATGCAGATAGCCCATTGTATAGATTTGAGCTATAGTTTTAACGCATAGTTCTTTATATTGAAAATTTACATTAGCCCGAAGTCTAGTTTTCTTTCTTCAATTTGTCCTTGTCAAGATTTACTGATGATGGATGGAATTCCCCAAAATTGGTATAACTCAATGACAAGTGGTAAATCAAATGTCAGTATGAAAAAGGAGTTAATCTTTTGCAATTGAAAATACATAAATTAACAGCTATAAACTCTTCTAAACTTTAATAAGTGGGAACCAGTTATACCACGTTTGACATGTGTAAATAATAGAAGCAAGAATCTTCATATAATAAAATGGCTATCACAAAACCAAGAAGTGAAATAAGTAGAGTATATCAAAAGTAACTTATTTTAATTGATATTATCTGACCAACTTGTAAAGAAAACTTGCTCAACTCTAGATACATGTTCTTGTTTTTTCCCTCTCATCTGTTACTTTACCATTCACAGCTGTTTTAATAATCTGCTCAGTATTCCTTTTCATTTGTTATTTACTTGGTTCATAAAAGTACATAGAAGAATAGCAAATATAATTTGTAATTGGCCTTTATAAATTTTGAAATAGACATTAAAGCACAGTTCTGATGGTCTTACTATATTTTTTTCACTTTATTTTTGTTGAAACATAAACAGCCTTATTTGAAAAGATATATATGGCTTCTACACACCTTTTTTAATTCCTATTTACTTATTTATCACAAAGCATATCTAAAGTCACGTTGTCACAAAAAAAAATATTTATAGTTCCAACTTGCCAATTACATACTGACATGTTGAATATTATAACATAAACTGGCTTCATGTATTTCTTTCATCAAAATCCAAAATTTAATAACAAATAAAAAACCCAACACAATCCACACAGTTGGGAAGACTTGCATGCTACTAACAACTGTTGATCTTGTGTTATTAGGTAAAATAAATGTTGTTTCTGGTAGTTTAGTTTTTTTAAGTTTAGAAAAACAGAATTACTTTCAGATATTAATTTTTTAATGGTCATAGGGATCCTTCACACTAATAATTATGTTTTTGTACAGCCAGCCTAAGAGGATGCTGTTAACATAGGTCATACAAATACCTGGGTTACTTACAATGATTAACTCTGAAAGACAATCATGTCATAATACATTGTTTAAATTTAAATCTGTCACTTTTCTTTAAGCATAATTAAATATTTTAGAATGGTTTGTTTGATTCATTTTGCTAATCTAGTTTACTCCCCTAAAACCCCCACTTTTAGAATTTGAATTTTCAAATTTGATTGTAGTTTTTCTGAAGTAACTCAAAGGCAATTCCTTTCTTCTTTACAAAATAGATAATAATGTAGTCTTAAGGACAAAAACAACAATCTAGTACATTAACACTCATTCTAAAACTGTAGAATTGACTAGCTCTGCTGGTAAAAAAATGTATAACAAAACTTTTATTAAACTTCTATTTCTTGTTCTTATGTTTTTACACAAAGCATAAAAACATCAGAATTTTTAATTTCATAATTTATTGCTTACTAACAGTAGTAACATTTGAACATTTTCTTAATTGGATTAGTTTGCCAATGAAGTTTTCCTTCCTCTTCATAATATTGTACCAAATTTGGAAAAAAGATGGCAACATATCCATGTCAAATTGCTGTTCACAATATTATATGGAACAGTATTAATACTGTAGTGTTGAAGCAAAATGCTGACAAAAGACCTCAATTTTATTGAAAACTATATGATGTTGAATACGATTAAAAGTGCAATATAAAGGTAATTTTAGTCTTCATCCCCAGGATGCATTATATGACAATTTTCTCTCTCCCCACTGTTAAAACTTGTGCATTTACACATGTAAAGTTGGTTAACATAAATACTAATAACTGTGCATAGGTCAACTACTACATTTAAACTTCTATAAACTTATAATTTTCATGACATACAAATACTAATAAATTAGACTCATATGACATTATCCAAAAGAATCTGCATTTTATAGAAAAAATATTATTTATTGATTATACCTCCAAACTTATGTTTTCTAAACTATCACTGGAATGAGTTTGAGGAGACTGTGGTACAGATTCTATTAACTTTTTTTCTCCTGCATGATGCACTATTTCAGCTTCTGGTTCTCTGAATGAAAGTCTCTTCTTGGTTTTCTTTGCATCTCTCCCTCCTGAATGCAAATTATCAGGTTTTAGAGGAACAGCTCGCTTCATACCTCTATGCTGAATTAGCATGTATATATGCAATATTTTATTGGAGATTTACACCTTTAAGCAAGCACACATATTTGGACCAGTAACACTGCATCTCAAAAC